CCTACAGTCACAAACACTTACACCCACCCTCATCCTCCTCCACACCCTTGATTGATCTTTTATAAGGGATCAGACTTATTTTATTTTATTAGTGCTTAACTTTCCTGTGCTCATTGTTCCTTGTGCTTAACGTTCCGTGCTCATCGTTCCGATTCCCCCTATACAGAATGCATATGATTCATGCACGAGATCTAGGAAGATTCAATGAAAATACAGCGAATACACAACTCAAACAAGATGTACAGTATTCAGAATGAAAATGCTGTATAACTTTGGCAATTTCTTGAAAGCTACATGACAAAACATTTTTTCAGATTTCTTAGAAAATCTTTTTGACTAGAATTGTTTTTTACTAACACAGTCAGAGTATCTAATTGTTTCATACTTCAGATAGATATAATGCACTTAAAAATCTCACATGATAGCGTGGAAGTCCCTTAGACATACATAAGGATCTTCCTTTGCTAAATACATCGTCACCGATGCTTTCAGAGTGATTTCTTTCTAAATCTGCTATATCCATACTAACCAGGTGGAGATCGTGTTCCAGCAATAACTATCATAGTAGTAACATCGGTATCGGTCGCCATATTTGTAATTTCATTCGACATATCAGTAAATAATTTGCAATTAGAAGTTGATTGTTGAAAACTGGCTGCTCTACAATGAATTTCAGTTAAACAAGCCATTTGACACTTCATAATACTCGACGTAATGATATTAACGAATGGCAAACAAGCTGTATTAGCACATTGGAATTTCGAACTAGTAATTAAAGACATTAGAACTGATCGTGTATCTTCTCCAAGCGAGTGCGTAGTAATCATAAATATAAGCCATAGACAGATTCTTCTTGAGGCCATTACCAACTAAGTTTGCACATCGATGAAATGAACTTAACAGAGAATAAAAGAAAAAGAATCTGTTGAGCGATAAATACTTTTTTTCTTCTTTTTCTCATTTCATTTCATCCATCCATCCAATGGAAAAACTAGTCATAAATTTTATTTTATTTTGTAAAAACACTTATTAACTCGGCAAGACAATTTTTCTTTGTTTATATATTACAGGAAGAAAAATATATTCACAAACAGAACATATGTTATATGGAATATGAATAAAGCTGAAACGCATATATAATGATCGACTCAACAAGATTATATTTCAAAAAGAGAATAATCAACATTTAGTTACAAATAAAGTTTTTCTTTTAAAAATAAAAATATTTTAATTCATTGTGTCCATATACAAATTAGCTATTTATTCAAGCTTGTCTCACAGATTATACAGTATATAAATCAATTCTTACGCAATTTATATATGAATAAAGAAAATTGAATAATCCTCCATATTCAAACGCACTGGATTTGGATTTCTTGATTGATTCTAATACGCAGTATGACTATATTTTCACAATTCTGCTTTTTCTACTCCATAGTATCATTTTTATTCTTCAGTTCTTGATTGATGAAAGAATATTATGATCAGTAATTCAATAGATAATCGTATTTTACTTCATCAATGTAACAAGCATCCAAACAGTTGAGATGCATGTATATATGTGATAGTATCAGTGAAAGAGAAAACATCTTGTTTATTAGATACAGAAAAACAAACAGTTCTTTTCATTATTCTAAAATGAGTTTTATAATTGTTTATCATTAAAACACATTCTAAAGTGTTTTTTTCTCAAGAAAAAATATTTATCCAATGTAAAGCTGCTTTATTTTACTTTTCTTTTTCTTCGTTTATATGCTGTTGTGATATAAAATGTATGTATCAGACGAAGAAGTTAGTTGGACAATCTTTTTGATTATTTTTTATAAGAAACGATAGTAACAGACACTTTGTGGAAAGATCTACGTTTGATATAATTACAAAAAAGAAACGTGTATGTTGAGAAAAACGATGATGGTAACAGATGCAAACTTTCTGTAGATGGAAAACGGCATCTTTATAATCACATCAGAAAAATTACTAAACAAACGTAATGACGTCTTTACTTTCTTTTCATATTTCAATCTATCATATATAATCACGAAATACATGGGAAATGGAACGATGAGCACAGGAAAGTTAAACACAAATAAAATAAAATAAGTCTGATCTCTTATAAAAGATCAACCAAGTGTGTGGGTGTGTGTGACTGTAGGTATTATATGTATTTGTAATTAACATTCACACCCGCACCCTCACGATGGTCATAACATAAGATTAGTTTTTTTCCTACAAAATGAACTGTTCTTAAGTTCAATAGAAATGAATAATACTATCAACTTTTGTAACAAAATCTTTATTTTATACTCAAGAAAAATTCTACAAATATAATCTTAGACAAACTTAAATGTTTATAATAATACAAATGATGAGGAGAATGATTGAAACAAATTTTAAATTATTGGCTTTTGAATCAACTAGATTGATTTCAACAAGAATTTGACGAACTTGATGAACAATTGTTGGATTATTACATTTATTTTTATTACAAGTAAATGAAATACTTGTTTTTTTATAATCATTACCAATGGATTTTGACTGAATAGTAAGACCAGTTCTAGAACCTGGTCGTCGATCAGGAATACAAGTTGTAGTTAATAAATCTGATCGTCCTCGTTCAATAATCAATGTTGCTTGACAATGCCAATTTATACAACATTTTTCGACTTTATTATTTCGATTATAACATTCTATTCGATCTTCTTGTACAATACTTTGATTATTATAAAGAAGTTCAGATAATTTAGTTTCTACTTCAATATAGTTCAATTCACTTAAATGTTTATATTGCGATTGAAGAATACTATTATTATTACATAGACTTTTATCGTAACAACTATAAGTAACTGTTCCATATGGATATCCACTGTCCAATGGTAGATTAATATTTGTTATTAATTCACTATCACCATTATTAGTAATGAGAGCATTTAATGGTGCAGTAATATATTTAATAACAGCTGGATATGAATCAATTAAATCAACAATTAACTCACTTCTACACAGTGAAGCTGATTCAACTACTTGTCCACAATAGGATTGATTAACAGA